TATCAACCACCCCATTCTCATCCAAAATCTCATCATTTCAACCCCAAAAGAGCTGTTTCCTGGCTCACAGTGCAGCCTGAACCCCTCAAAAAAGCAACACCCCCAGGCCCCCCCCAAGCCTCTGAGCCATTTACTGTACGGGGAATTAAATCCCGGAGGCGGTTGGGGTTTGATGACCCCGGGTGATAGGATTAAGGCGCCGGAGTCATGTGAAACCCGGACCCAAATTAAATCCCAAAAGACCAAGCTCGGGATTTAAAATACACAGCGGGAATCTGGTCGGAAAAAGGACCCCTAGAAAAGCTTGGAAAAAAGGTCAAGGAGCATCTCGGGGCTGCGACGCAGCCACTCGCCTCCCTTTGCTTTTTAATTTTTATTTTTTTCTCAATTATTTTTGGGGATTTTTTTTTTCCTCTTCTTCCCTTAACTCCAACTATTTATAAACGGGCAGATAGGAGATGCCTGACTGTGGAGCAGTGTCCGTTGGGAAAATCCACCACGGCATTTCTCACGACCCCGGGGGCGGGGGGGGGGCAGGAGGAGCCGTGTCCTCCGGAGAGACCAAATTTGGGGAAAAAAAATTAAATAAAACAAAAATCATACGTGACTTTGCTATAGATGGAAACACGCTTCAACCCCTGCCGTGGGAGATGGAGGCGGGGATGGGATGGGAATGGGAATGGAATAGGATTAGGAATGGGATAGGGATGGGATTGGGATGGGTTGGGGGTGAGATTGGGGGTGGGATTGCGGATGGAACGGGTCAGGGAAAGGGATTGGGGATGGGATTGAGGGTGGGATAGGATAGAGAAAGGGATTTGGGATAGGGTTGGGGATGGGATTGGAAAGGGAAAGGGGTTGGGAATGGAACTGGGGACAGGGTGGGACGGGATTGGGATGAGGACAGGGATGCCAAACATCACCCCTCCTTTCGCTTTTCCCCTTTACGATCCCTTGCAGATCCCACAGGATGAGGATGGATTGTTTGAGAGCAAATTTAAAGGAATCCCACACATTTGGGGTTCAAAAGTGACTTTTTGCTGCATTTTTGGGCTCTTGGTCCCCATAATGTCACATCCCAGGGCTCGGGCATGACTTGTTTTGGGGTAATCCATCACGACTCCACGCAAAAAACGCCGTTGGGATGTGGCAAAGGAACACCCTGGTGGGATTTAAGGACTAAGTGACCCTGTGCTTTGTCCCAACACCCTCCAATTAATTTTTATCAGGGAAGAAAACCTTCAAGGAGGGACAAGTGGCGGCTCCGGGACCCCCACCCAGCACCCCGCTGGGAGGAAATGCTGCTGCCATTGTTTTTGGGGCCGTTTCCTTTCCCCAAAGGCCTCTCCTTGTCTGGGAACGCCAAAGGATATTTCCCTTTGGAGCAACTGTGGCGTTTCAAAAAAAAAACTCAAATAGGGTGGGAAAAATAGGGAAGGGAAGGAGGGAAAAACTCGTGAACAGAGAAGGGTTGAGACCCCTCACCTCAAAACCAGCTGGGGTGGCTGTGGAGCACCAGTAAACGAGGGAAAAGGAAACCAAATGGATTTTTTTGCAGCTCGACGCCAGAGGGGAATTATCGGCTCCAACACATCGGAGTCCCCGGGGTGTCCCTGCATGGCTTTGGGTTTGGGGGTGCTGGAAGGTGCCATTTGGCAGCTTCAAGGTAAAAAATTGCTTTTCCCAGGGGGAGCCAGATTTTCCCAACTCGGGAC